CCCCCCATTTACCCTATTCGTTCTCTTTGGTTGCACCTTGCTCATTTCATGTATAGCTTGAAGTCTTTTTCCCACTTTCCCACTGGTCATTTGATTCTTTAGGTCGTCAAAACGAAATTCTTCTTCTGTTTTTATGTGTCCGTAATAAGTGGACCCTATCATTGATCCTTCCAAGAACACAGCGGTTACCAGAACTATTCTGGAGCTCCTAATCTGGGCATTTGCAGCGGAACGAATTTGGTCTGAGTGCTGATTGCCTTCAACGAGAGGTCCTACGGCAAATGGCAGGCAGACGGAGCTGATCAGTTATTCATCGGACGGCTTTCAACGCGATTGCTTTCACGAACAGCCAACACCGTGCTCTCGTTGAACCAAATCACTACCACAGAACATCATTGGGACCGATTAATAGAATATTCCTATTGGGCTCTAAAATTTTCTGGTCTCTGGTTTTCGCTTTGAACAGGGTATAGGACGAGTAATAACTCATACGATACTCACTCCATGTGAGTTTTGGTACTCCTCAGACTTCACAAGACTCCTATGCAGGTTCTTGACTACTAAGCGACACTAAGATCAAGTAATCCATTCCGAGTCGACGTTCTATTTCAATCGCGTTCCCCTCCATTTGTTGGGCTAACTAATCTGTCCAAGGCGGAGGTGGAGCAGTGGCAAGTTTCGCATTATCAGACATGCATGGTCACGCGGTCGAATCCCGGATCGATGCCCGCCTGGCCAACCAAACTTTCCATCCCTCTGGGGTCGGCTAATTGGGACCAGACTTGTCTGGGAGGTAAAAGCACTGACTTGTACATCGGCTGGCCACCGCAAGTCATTGTATAGGCCACTAAGCATCCAAAACGCCACTACGATTCTGAATGGAAGGCAGGTGCGGGGGCGCATTCCTCGGACGGGAAACGTCAACCTCAAAAAAAGACTTTATCGTACATCCTTTTATTGAACAAAATGTAATTAATGCAACTACACTTTAGCAGTAGTCATGATCGAAGTAAATAAAATTAATTTTACACGGAATTTCTTACTTGAAACACTTCCAGAGCATGTTCATTCAGTTTATTGGGGAGACGGGCAGTAGGAACGGTTTTGGATAATCGGTTTGCCGCACGCGGCTGTCGCGGACCTTGCCTCGTTATAACAGTTCTAGTGTTCCTAACACAGCTAAATCAATGTGCGGCCATTACTTATGGAATAATTCTACATATGGTTCTTTTTTTCCTGAATTCTTACTTGCTACTGCATACTGCCACATTCTTTCGCGCGCGGCGTCTCTCTCGCCGCGACGCGACAATTTCGTTCCTACTGCACCACATCCAGTTTATTGGCAATGAAGCACCGTAAGACGATCACTTTGATCGTTATCATTAATGTCGTCTACAAATATTAATCTGCAAAATATCCAAATTTGTGCCTTCTACATGTTTTATGAAACTATAGAAGTTTAGGGTAATTATATCTACATATATGTCATGTTTCAGGAAATATTTCACGAAATACTCTCTGATTTCAATAGATGTGGCCAGTCGTTGTCGTTCTCACTGCCTTCAGTATTCATGAAGTCAACTCCGCACGTGAGTTTTGATTTCGCCAGGATACCTTCGAGCTAGTAAGTCGCGAAATTTTCACTTACTGGTAAAATCTTGCCATGAAAAGACTAAAGCGGGCTGAGCCCTTTTCGGAAGTCGTCCAGATCACTTGACGATGGACACTATGTTTCCTTCAGAGTAATGCTTGATCTATGGCAGTGCAAAAAAGCCTAAAACACTATCTGCTTATAAGTGAGAGCTTTGAATAAGTTCAATAAATCTTCGGGTAATTTTACACCATTGAATGAAGTGATACATACACAACAAGGGCTTTTGGGCCTCCACCACAGTCACCTACCGAGGCTATTTCTTACTGGTATTGGCGTTTATTCGTTTGGACTACGTGTATATTCACTTCCCCTCAGGTGTGCTATTGGGATGCCTTGTATGAGAAACTAAATAATTAAGTTGACAAAGTAAAAGTTACCTCCAGAGCGCAACTAAAAAGGTAGTTCAGATAGTAGCCGTAAATATTTGTGTCCTAGGAAAGGTTAGCCCTACGCATGAACGGATCTGTAAGTTACCAATAACCAACCGGACCTGCAGTGGGCATTTAGAGGAAGAATTCTTTTTGAAAACTTGGGTAGAATAAATGAATCCTTTCCCAAATGATAGTTGGGGCATAGTCATGCTTAACAATAATGTGAAGGAAGACTTTCAGTAATCCATCGTGGAATTAAAAATCTCAGTTACATTCCGATTACCGAAAACGTCGGAGGCATGGCGCATTCAAAGTCATTTAGTTGCCCCGCCCTTCTAATAAAAGCCAACGGGATGTGAACGGGGAAATACCAGCTGTTCATCCGTACGGTGTGAATTTTGCGACACCGTTACTCTAATTTGCTAAGTGGGAGGTACCCCACCTAAGAGCTGGAAAAATATATGAAAATATGGAGGGTGGATCTAAACGGACCAAACCTGTAGTTAATTGGAGTTGGTAGAAAATCGTTCTGGCTGCCTGTAACTTTCCATGGTTACTTCTCGTCCAAGACAACATGAATCAATTGAAATTTTTTTGTGCCACCCTACCTTTCCACTGAATTCCTTGCTTTATCTTTTGCTTTTTTCGTTTTTCCATGTAGTTTAACGAAATTTTTCGTCTTGTTTTTCTGAACCCATTCGAATCAATTATGAGTAGGTCCAATAGTAAAAACATCCCCAGCTAGTGGCCGCCGGAACCGAAAACAATTCACAAAGCTTATCGAGAATTCTGGTCGTAGAACTCACTCAGGCGTCGTTCAAAACATCATCCGTCCCAACTTCATGCAATCCCATTCCATCCTGATCCCGTTTTCGTTAGTATACCATTTACATCAAAGCAAAGTTGATAAGGAGGAAGTTGGTGATTAATACTCATGTCCACCCTCGGTGAATCGGTTAATCTTCTGGTTTGTAGAGTTTCATCAATAATCAGGTCGAGATCTTAGCGTCCACCGATCGCAGTAATCGGTGGATGGTCAAGATGTCGACCAGATTAGTGGAGAGAATCCACAAATCTCAAACCACACGGGGATCCGAATGGGAGACGGCCTATTTAAGAGAACGCCTACAAAGCTAGGCTAAGTCGAGGCCAGTTGATAAGCTGACAATCGATCATCAGTACATCGTTTTTGATCAATCTGATTGTTCCTGAATCTTCTTTTAAGAGTCAAAATAGACGAAAGCCATCCAAAAGGCATTTGTTGAGATCCTCAGCCATCTACCCGGCCTCTACTTATTTATGCACGTTGTTTTGCACCTTATTTAGTCTATGTCTTAATCCCACCCAACCGTATGTATATACAGTGGGCTCAAGGAAACCGGAAACAGGAGACATCATTGCCTGAAGGAAACGGTAGTCCCATACACAAGTATATTGCAAGAATAATGCGTTTAATAGGTTAACAGGCAAAATATTATACAACTATTCAATGATTTTTTAGGTGAAGCGCTGATGAATGAACGGGGTGAATTTCTGCCGCATATACGACTGGCAAAAGATCTAATGGATAAACGAAGGTGAGCAGATCGGTCTCGTCTTATATCAAAGGCAGACTACAGCAGTTGAAGTGCTGTACTTGGGTATTGAACCCTCAGAGGTGGTGTAGTGGCAAGTGGAGCGCTTAACACACGCATGGTCACGGGTTCGAATCCCAGATCGTTATCCGCCTAGGTTAACCAAGCCTTCCATCCATACGGGGTCGCGAATTGGAACCAGACTCGTCTGGAAGGATAAAAGCACTGACTTGTACAACGGCTGGCTAACGCAATTCATTGTATAGGCCACATACGCATTCAATAGCCATTGGAATTCTGACTTGAAGTGGAATGCGTGGGCGCATCCCTCATATGGGATCGATTGAAGCCTAAAAACTTTATCTAATGGACTTTACCCTTGATACTGTTATATAACATACTCCATGCGCCATCATGGGTAAAGTCTGGCGATCGAATCTCGGAACGTTATCCCTACATGACAGACAGGCCTTTGATCGTTCAGTTCACTGGTACTCGATTCGCTCGGGAGGATGAAAGCTGATTTTTTTTCACTGTGTTCAGTACTAGCTAGAGAATTCGAGAAAGTAGTTCTTGAAGTGATCAACGGGCTGAGCTGAAATCGTGTTGGTTCTGATAGTTCAAATCAATTTGGTCAATAACAAATACTGACGAAAACAGTAACGAATAAGTTGTAATTGCAGATATGACTCTCGAGTACGACCGGTCATGAATCATTCACAACCAACTACCGTCGTGTTTTCTATGAGTTTGTATCAAATTTTGGCCATTGTTAGTTCACCTCAAATTCCCTATATATCTTTTGTTACAGTAAAAAGTCGTCTAGAATTTCAGAATGAAAAGCGACAAAGTGTCGATCTGAATGTATGGGTGATCCAAAAATGGAAAGATGACTTTCTTGGTTGGAATCCGTATCTATACGGTATGATTAACACCACAATACTACCATATGAGGCAATCTGGTTACCGGATACGTACGTATATAATAGGTAAACACTTTATGATTATTATCAACAATACATTAATTCCGTCATACTTTCGTGAGTCATTTAATTCAATCAGAAGGCATTGCTGTCGTTTTTATTAATATCCATATACCTACGGCAAGCCGCCGTGGCACTTCCCGCATCCTCCCACTGCAAATGTTAATTCATCCCCCTTCCACCCCTAGAGAGTCGATACTTCTACCCGAATTCCCACGGCAAGCGGCAGCAATTCCGCGGCGGCTGCCGTATCCTTCCACTGAGAATTCAAACCTCTTCCCTCATAGCACGCGATCAGGTGATGTGAGCGCGATGGATTTTCGGGGAGGAGGTACCATCCCCTGCACTTCTCTTCAATCTAAAGCGTATCAGCACGACGCACTGCATAGAAGGAGGAAGCTCAAAAAAGTCTTCGTAATTAGTAGGATTGATGTGCAGCTCAAAGAATCCCGTTACATTTTGGAAAAAGTCCACATTTGGTCCATTGCGTGTGTGGAAGTTGTCATCAAGAACCAATTTGACCTGGTGACAGACCATCGGCGTAGTTTAATTCAAGCAGTGGTGTTGTGGATACAGAATCTAGTAGAATAATTTGACCCTGATGATTTCAGTGTGGTGATGAATCGTGAAGAGACAGAACGCTACATCAATGTTGTAATCAGCACGAACTACTGGAAAGGCGAAAGAGGAGCTGAAATCAAGTTCATGTATCCAGCTCTATATCGTACCAGTTGCATGCTCGACATCAGGTGAATCTGTTAGCTTTCGAGAGACCAAAATCCTTCAAGCGGGCTACCGCTTAACCGTTCTGCTCTAGATGTATCTCTACTATGCATATCTACTGTCAGTCCTGGAGGGGTGGTTTCGCGTGCTGTCAAAGTTAGTCGCACCCGCTGTGGAGTAACTCCCGCGCTAATCGTCCAGTACGGGAGTTCCTCCTGAGTATCCATCGCTAGCAACAAATCTTTTCTGGAAACTGGTTGTATAGGCACAAACATATGTATGCAGATAGATATTCACATAGAGATAGACATACACATCTACACTCACAGGTACATATACGCGCTTCCGCATCCAATGTTTAGTAAATAAAAAGAGAGTGTCTACCTGAACCGTACGATTCTCTGTTGACGGATTTGACTTTCAAACAACTGAAAAATTAGGTCAAGTTAACATGTGGTCAATTGGTTTGACGTCAAAGCCTTACTGTATTCTGCTTAGACAGGCCATTGACTGTGTTCAGCTGACAGTTTCGTTCTAATGAGAGAGTGAAGAAAGCTAAAGCATTTTGAAATGCACCTTCACTGCTATACCTTTTCTGTGCTATTTTCCTTTAGACGGAACTATTTCCTCGGCACTCATTCTTGTCACAACTGGTATGACCCACGTACTCCTTCACGATTACCAGACTTTGTCATTTAAAGGAAGCGTCCACGTTGAGCATTTTTTTTTTCATTTAGCATGACCAGTGTAAGACCTCTGTTTGGAATAATATCTAGTTCTTTTAGGTCATAAATCGATTTCCCGATAGTAAACTCAAATCTATTCCGCCCAACGTAATCATTGACAGCATTGTTAGGCTTAGGCAGAGTTTGACGGGGAGCTTGATCCTCGTTCCATGTGCTCAATAACGGCTACAACTTTCTGGGCACTACCACTGCGGTGGCGGTAGAATTTAGGCATAAAGGGTGAAGCGACCTGTGTAGCCCTTAGTTTCATTCCTGATGGAGTGTTCGGTGCTTAAGGATTTTGGTCAATTCAGGTTTTTTCCGTACGATCAGCAAGAATGTAAGCTGATAATTTCATCGTGGACGTCCTCAAAAAGCGATATCGACTATACTGCAGAGTTCCATGGTGTCAATATGGACAATTTCATTCCAAATGAGGAATGGATTGTAGTCAGCTTCAACATCAAGCGGATCGAGGTTAGTCATTAATGGGTAAAAGGGTTTTTCAAAAGTGTTTTCGTCTTTCTTCGTCTTCGTTTTTCTCCCATTGGGCTGGAAAAACAGATTTTTTCTATTACAATTACCTACAAGGTAGTACTTCGGGTAATGGGGAAGGCAACAAAAAAAGTCAAGTCGAACTGTGTCCGGGAAGAGAAACGGATAGAGGAGGACGAGAGGTTCGAGGTTTAGAGGAGAAATTGCGAAGTTTGCTCGTGAATCTGGAGCGCTTTCGATCAATAAGACAAGCATAAAGAATTTTTTCTTGAAAAGATGCCCTGTTTTGGATATAAAACCATAATTACCTCAAGACATACGAGCTAGGCTTTTGAAGAGTAAAGGATCGAAGCACGGTGCCTGTGTATCACAGGCATGGGTTCTGGTCCGGCCTTAGGATAAGCATTTTACCCATGAAGTAACCTTTCAATCTGTTCCGTGTACTAGAGAGTTGTCAAAAACAGCAGTTACGAACAAGAGCCATTCAAATCAATCAAGGTTACCCTTCTCAATTCTATTGAGCTATATTCTGGGAAATAAGTTAACTGTGGATTCGAATGAGAAAATGAAGTTAATCAGCTACGTTGCCTTCATTCAATGACGAATGAACTCTTTCAAAAATTTTTTTTTCTGCAAAGAGCAGCCAAGCTCAACTCAAAAACTCTTGCATCTTTTTTTTCCAAAATTTACTGAATTTCTCCACTGTGAAAGTTAAGATAGACATATGTTTCATCACTAAAGTGCAGTGGGAAAATCCGCCTTCAGCGACAGTCCTAGTCCAGCAATCATAGTAAAAACAAAGCAGTTTCTACAAAGTGAGTAACGTTGCAACACACATATCTGGCGAGTTGTGGGCAAAACTTCGGCCTCAAATGGGTTCCGAACCCAACT